CCATCTTAACTTCCTTTTCTTTTTTATCAGTGTCTTCAGAAATTCATTGTTATTCAAATGTTTTTTAGTCCATTTCACTTAATTCCTCAAGGTCAAGTCTCATTACTTATCTACACTCTGGTAACTACCCGCCTTTCTAATTTACAACACAATCATACACAAAGGTTATTACTAAAATATTATTGTCTCACATAATTAGAAAGTATTTTCCCATAATTTAGTAACAAAAGTGAGTAATGGTCTACATTTGCACGTTGGAAGTATCTAAAATGATTTACAGAACAAAAGAGTGGTTTTTTGTTTGTTTGTTTGTTGTTGTTGTTGTTGTTGTTGTTTGGTTCTGGGATTGAACTCGGGTCCTTGCACTTGCAAGGCAGGCCACCAAACCGCTGAGCTAAATCCCCAGCCCTAAAAGAGTGTTCTAGATAATCCATTATGATTGTTATAGAGAAAATAAAACAAATTATTAGTGAGAATTATATGAAATTATAGCTGTGCATGTTGGTCACATAAGGATTCCTTATGTTTGTGTTTATGTTTGTGTTTATATTACATGTTTGTGTTTGAGATGAGGAAGATGTTTCCACAGTCTGGAGCAGAGAAGCAGATCTATACTGGGATATACCGTTGTGTTATGATAAAGATATTTATGGTAAATATGGAAAGGATGGATGAAAAATTCAGTAATTTGCTGAGACAATTCAGTAAAGAAAAGGAACCCTGGGCCAGGGATTTAGCTCAGTGGTTCTGCCACCTGCCTCACAAACCAAAGGTCCTGAGTTCAATCCCCGCCCCCCCAAAAAAAAAGAAAAAGAAAGAAAGAAAAAAAGAAAAAGAAAAAAGAAAGAAAGAAAAGGAACCCTGATCATATGAAATCCATAATACTAATTTTAGAAGAGAACATGGAATGTAACTGCAGGGTAAGAGAATATTTCTTTCTTTCTCTCTTAATATTTGTTAATAGGTTTCTTACTTTAAGTCTATTAGATGTGAATTCTGTACCTGATAACCTGTACTCAATTATCATTTAAAAACTTTGCATGCATACAATTATAGAACTTCAAAAATAAAACTTGGGAAGTGAAAAAAAATATTATTGTCTCTCTTTTCCAAAAGCATTCCACAGATTTCCCATTATACTTCATGTATAACATAACTCTTGTGAAATTGTTTAAATCCATATTCTTGTTCTCATGTATTATATTAATATTGTTTCACCTTTCTGCTCACAGAAAATTTTCATGCAAAAAAACACGTATCTACTTTATGACCAGTGATTCCAGTTTTTGATATTTGCTCAAGTGAGCTAAGCATTTGAGTCAACAAAAAGATGTGTATGGTAAGTTTTACAGCAGCTTTTGAACATTAACAGTAAAATGAAAATAGCCAAGATGACTACAAAAATCACAACAAAGTCATGTGGATTACATCTGATGAGATTTGGCATGCATATACAGCTGAGAAAACATCATGCAGAATCAAATACGGGAAACATAATACTTGGGAAATTCCTGATATGTTTCATTGAAGTTTATTCTCCATCTCCCTTCTTGACATTTTCTTTTTCTTTTTTATCAAAGATAAAATTTCCCTTTTCCTAGATACCATTTAGGTTGAATCCTAAAATGTAACTTGGAATGAATTGAGGAAACAATTTGACAAGTATTTTAAGTTGAGGGACTGCATTAGTAACAGAAGCCATAAAACAACTTGTAGAACTCTGTTCCCAATTAAATGATATTACAGTTGAAATCTTTTTTGGAATACTGTGGGAGATGAATCCAGAGAAGCCAGTTGTGTTCACAGTGAAAGTTATTTGTTACACATGCATACACAAATAACTATATGATAAATACAATAAAATACTTTGGTTTATGATTGATTCTTTTTGTGAAAAAAATTGTTTACCAATAGAAGCATTCACCAAAATTTTGATTCCCTTTGCAAACTCCACATGGAGTGATGAACATGACTGTGACCGTCTTCTTCAGAATCAGAGAGCAGTTGAATAAATGAAGTTCATGAACTGAGACTATACAGATATATGCACATATATTATAGACATATATAATACATATATAACATCATTAACGTAGTTAACATCATTAGCATCTATTAACCTTATTCTATAAGAGACAACCTTTGACAGACTATTGACTGTTAAGAGAGGGTCAGCACAGTCATATTTTCACTTTGCTAAAGTCAGTCTGAAAGTTGTTTGATGTATAAGTTTAACAACAGGAAAAAGTTGTCGAAAGAAAGCAGATTTAACAGTGATAATCATCATTTAAGCAAGAGATACTGCACACATTTCCTTGGATCAAAGGGTACATAAGAACTCCCTTTCTTTTACCTTCTGTCACTTTGGGAATTTTCACTTCTATTTATAATCCATGCACAGAGTCCATTTAAGGATCTCCAAAATTTATGTCTACATATAAAGCTATATATTGCTTTGACCAAGGCATTATCTGAGTCTGGTGTGATGTCATTTAAATGAAAACCCCCTTTAAATGATTAGGGAGTCCTAGGACAGGAAGAAGACCACGTTCAACCATACATTTCAGGAGCAGGAAGTGCATCTTGATGTTATACTTGCTCCCAGGTGTCAGACCTAGAGAACAAACTCTGTTCCAAAGTATCTTTCTTGTACATATTCCCCATATTATAGTGAGCCTTCTATCACGGATCAAGCATTTGAAGTGCACGTTTTTTCCATTTTTTTCCCCTATAAATTTGCAAAGAGCCAGATCCATGGTTTCTCAGATAAATCCACACACGCGTACACACACACACACACACACACACACACACAGATTGAGACCTGTGTTCTTCCTCTTATTCACACTCTGTTAATCCTTCTCTTTAATTTATGCATTCATTGTATATAAATCATTTCCCTTATTGTTTCTCAGTTGGAATGAAATGAGTACTCACTAAAAAGTAAGCACTAGGGAAAATTACCATAAATTAATGAGTACACTAAGGATAAAAATTTTCATTACAGTGAAAATAAGTGAGTTTCAATCTTCTGTCAAACCTCCATCATTGTGAAAACAAATCTGAGATTTTTATCTTCCTCCATATAGAATGACTCTGGTCAACAACTCAGACAACAAATAATTGTGAGTCTGTGGGGTGGGAGGAAAGAGTACTTCTACATTGTTGGTGAGAATGTGAACTAGTACAATGGAAATCAAGGTGGACAAAATTAAAATGGAAAATTCATTTGACCCAGGTACAGCTCTTTTGGGTGTCTTCTCCAAAGACTTAAAGTCATCATATCACATTGACACATGCATTCTTGTGTTTATGACAACATAATTGAAAATGCCTGCACTTTGGAATCAGCCTGTATATCTATCAGCAGATGACTAGATAAAGAAAATTATGAATAGATAGATATGGAAAGAGGAAGGAATTAAGACTAAGGCATAAAGAAGTATAAACTTGAATCATTTGTACGAAAGTGGATTCCACTTGAGACCATATTGGTAAATTAAATAAATCAGAAAGTTAAATAGTAAGTGGTTTCTATGTAAGAAACTCAAAATGTAAACAATTTAAATAGCAAAATAAAAGAGAGATGACAAGAAACACAAGATAGGCCTGTGGAGAATGGAGGAGGATGTGGGGATGGAAGTAGAAGGAGGGCCTAGAGAGGGATGGAGCTGCAAATATTTAAGCTGCCACATGTGTGTCCATTAATTCTCCAATAAATCATATGCCAATAAAAATTTAAATATTAAAGTACAGGTGACAGAACTCAGAGGAGAGCAGCGTGTTCCTGTTACTAGATACCAACTAGTATCTACTAGTTACTAGATACTAGACACTAGTTCAATTTCTCATTTTATGTGAGAAGAAACAGAAAATCATAAAGGGCAACACAAAAAAATGGTATTTCTAAAGAGCAAGAAAAGAATTCAAGAACTATATTTTTGAGGATGTATTTTTACCTGAGAAGTTTTGTCAAAACAGAGAATTTGAAAAAGTTTGAAATTTTATCACTCTATACTACCCTTCACTCAATTATTTATGCTAAGTTTCCCAGTGTTGTCCAGATGTTTTGGGAGTACTGGGAACTTTACGATCTGTTTCAGCCATAACAGTCTTGAATTTGGAAATAAGAATGTAGATAAGGAGGTTTATTTGAAAGGCAATCTCAGGCAAAACTATGAGATCTTGGTAAGGAAAGATAAATAGAACAAAGACAACAAAAGATTTATTAAAGTGACTTTATATTCTGAAATTAAAGCTTGAGGAACATTACAAAACTCTGAATATAGCAGTGTGAAGAAATATGTCTCTACTCTGGTGGAGATAGTTTCTCCCTCTTTTCCTGTACATTTTATGAGAGTTAATAACTGATTTTATTATATGTGAAAACCTTATTTGATAATGTAACAAAACAGTTTATTGATTTTTAAATGCCTTATGTATTTTTTATCAAAACACTCTTGTGATATTATCTAAGTAACGTATTCGATTTTCATAAGTCTTCTCAATCATTTTTCAGATAAGTTTATGAAGAAATTTAATATCTAATTTTCTTTTTATATAATACCTCCCTTTGGTTTTGTTGCCATTGTAGATCTGACAGTGGGGAATGAGTCTCAAAGTTTGAAAGACAAAAAATGAGGTATACATAATACATGGTACTTATAAATTTTTGTGAAAATAGAAGTAATATTGGCAAATAGTTGAATGGTTGAATGTCATAATTACAAAATATCGATTCATAGGCAAAGCCTGAATAATAGTATATGATCAAAATGTTCCTATTTATCCAACATATAAGTATTTCTAATTACTTTTATAAAGACATTATTATCAGAGTAGAATGAACATAAGAGAACCACTGGATATGAATATATATTTTAATAGTATCTGAAGTCATTTTTCTAAAGTCACTTACCAAGGTCATTTTTGGCCAGCAGAGAAGTATGTAAGTTGAAGAAAAGCCTGAAATAATTTGTAAACTTTTGGATAAATTTGAATTACTCTTTCTTTACAAATATTTTTACAACTCCTTCCCATATTTGTTTTGTCCTGACCCCATAAATAACTGGATTTAAACAGGGAGGTACAACCACATACAGATTCGCCAGAAGAATGTGGATATTAGGAGGAACATTTCTACCAAACCGGTGTGTCATGAAGGAGAAAAACGCCGGAGTGTAAAATGCTAAGATGACACAGACATGGGAAACACATGTACTAAGTGCTTTGCTTCTGGCATCCCTGGAAGGAAGGCAGAAAACAGCTTGGAGGATCTGAACATAAGAGAGAGCAATAAGTATTAAGTCAAAGACCAGCGCAGCAATGGTGAATAAACCATAGATGATGTTGACCCTTATGCTGGCACAGGCCAGGCGAGCAATGCCCATATGTTCACAGTAGGTGTGAGGGATGATGTAGTGTCCACAAAAGGGCAGCCGTTTCAGAAGAGGGCAGAAGGGAACCACAAGGAGGACCAGTCTGCCCACTACAATGGAGGCCATGATGGCCACCACCTTGTTGGTAAGAATACTGGTGTACCTTAGCGGGTAACAGATGGCAACAGAGCGGTCAATGGCCATGGCCACGAGCACAACTGAGTCCATGCCAGTGTAGGTGTGGATGAAGAACATTTGGATGAGACAGGCTTCAAAGCTGATCTCCCGAAGGTCGAACCAGAAGATACCTAGCATCTTGGGAATGGTAGAAGTGGACAGGCCCAGATCGATACAAGAGAGAAGAGCAAGAAAGTAAAACATGGGTTGATGGAGACTCTGCTCAGTCGTGATCACACATAGGATTGTGAAATTCCCCACAAGTGCTATCAGATAAAGAACAAAGAAAGGTAAAGCAATCCACACATGGAAAACTTCTAGACCTGGGACACCCAGCAGAAGGAAGGCAGAAGGATACAAGGCTGAGGCCGTGTCATTGACAGAGGACATCCTGGGGAGACACAAGGAAATATATGGTGGTGGGACATCAGTACCCATGATAACTTGTCAGTTGAATCCCCAAGACTATAAAAGAAGGAAATTACTGAACATTAACTGAGATACTCAAGGTATTGACTATTTAATATTGAAAGAAGATTGTGGAAGTTAAAAAATATATAAAATGCATTTATTTTATTTTCTGGTGGTGATATGATAGAATGATTCATGATTAGCTCATTCTTTTGTTAACATAAATTATCTAATGAAAACCTTTTTTATTTTGGTACTGAGGATTGAACTCAGGACCTTGCACTTGCAAGGCAGGTGCGGTGCTACTGAGCTAAATCCTCGGCCCATGAAAACCTTTCAGATAACTAGAACTTAGGACATACTCAACCTGCCTTGGGTATTGAGTCGAGCAGACATATAAATAAAACTCTTTCAAGTGTTACACAATTGTAGAAGACTAGGAGTTGGAATGTGAAGAATCTGGGGAATTTATGGTCTGGAAGATGTACAGTCACGTGCGACAGACCTCTCACAGTCCTTCCTCTCTGCTGTTACTGCACTCTTTCCCTGCCCAACTAACACTATGTTCAATCTTTCTATCAAGGAGACTTCTCCATGCTTTGGTTGACAAATTGATTATTGGTATGTTTTTGACATTTAAAAATTTCTTTTACCATTTAATCAAATACTGCAAAACATAATTTTAATGGAGCTAGAAAAGAAATGTAATAAAGCCAGGCGTGGTGGTGCATGCCTATAATCCAGCACTCAGGAGGCTGAGGCAGGAGGATCACTGTGAATTTGAGACCAGCCTTAGCTAAACAGTGAGTTCCAGGTCAGTCTCACTACGTAGTGAGACCCTATAAAAAAAAAAAAAAAAAAAAAAAAAATTTAAAAAACTAAAAAAAAAAAAGAAGAAGGAAAAGAAATGTAATAAAATTGATCCAAATATGATACCTTAAACACAGTAATTAAAAAAAAAACAAGATCTATTTGGTTTATCAATGTAAATGCAACTAATAAAATACTGAATGATTAAACACTGATATTGTCCCCATAGCAGTGAGAATATGGCAATAACATCAATTAGTATTAATTTTATTTGATAGTTTACTGAAATTTCTAACAAGTTCAATAAACCAAGAAAGAAGAAATAAGACATCAGATTGGAATAAAAAAATAAACTTTTCCTTTTAGGAGTAACATGAACTTATGCAAAAATTTAGAACCAACCATTGAACATATCAATTGGACAGGCAAATGAATCAATAATTTCCACATATTACTATAAAAAATTAAATTTGCAAAAACAAAATATAACTTAGATCCAATTAAACTTAAAGTTCTTAATGATAAATATTTTAAATTATAGATTCTCCAGGCCAAGGATTTAGTTCACTGGTTCCACTCCCTGCCTCTCAAGCACC